GAATAGGGAAACTTACAATGAAAAGCGCAGAAAGAAATATAGACCGAAACCAAAACACAATAAAACAATCAATGATAACACTAAGCACACACACCACATCTGATCGCACTCGCTCGGACCGGTCCTTCTCTCACTCTGGTGCGCACCACACTCACCACTTTCAGGATCCTCAAAAACTCTCGTGATTCTCTCGAAAGGCATCCACTTGGACTGCCTCAGGGTGATGAGCTCGATTTCTTCCTCCTTGGGCATCAGGTTCCTGCCGATTGGACTTGCCTTCCTAAGGCTGAGTCACTCGGACCCTAGGGTCAGGATTGGTTACCTGGACTTCACCCAGGGTCACTAACCTGGGGGCCGGGACTACCAACCCGGACTTTCTCACTCGGGGTCACTAACCCGAGACCATACACGGGATGGCGACTCCCACTTTATAATGGATTTATGCAGACATGAGGGGGCGACCCTCGGATTATACTACCCCGTCCGGACAATTAGACCTTGCCTCCAGCCATCCTTTGTTCTCAGGGAAGCTGCTCGGATCCCGGACGAGCCCCCAGAATGTTAGGGTCCAGGACTCTGGGGTTTCCCCAGAGAACAAGCCACGGACACGGAGATGTAAATCCAAGCAAAGTCTTTATTCAGCCAGCAAGCTGGGGCCAATAGCACCTCCCCTGACACGCAGGCCGAGTCTGAGCTGCCAACCTCTAGGCAACTTTAGGTATTACTTATATAGGATTTTCACAGCCGTTACACCGAAGCCCACACATTTCTACAACCAGTAATTTTAAAGCACATTCTATATTGTAACCAATGGGAAACATTGTAGCCTTTTTAGGGAACATGTCAGTTGCCTGACCACTTCAACTGTTATCTCTTGCTTACCCAAGCATGTCTACGTGACTTATCACGGATTTTGTCCCCAGGCTGCTGCCCACTTCTAGTTATCTAACTTAAAGCAGGCGCATTTCTAAGCTTAGCCTCGGGTAGTTTATACAAAAACTGGGTGGCTCTCGCTCTAGGCAGTCAGGTTAAGTGTTATTAGTCCTTTTTCCTGACTCTAGATGCTCTCTGCCTTCCTTTACACTTATATCCATTTTGCAGATAAGAAAACTGAAGCTCAGATTAGGAACCAGCTATCCTTAACTTCACAATTTAAGAACAAGACTGGCTTTACTTCTTGAACTGTTCACCTCCAAAGCCTGAGGTCTTAACCATGACAATACACTGCCTTCCTTTTAGCATTCAAGGATTTTGTGAGGAAACCATATCCATGATTCTTCATGATTTTAGCAAAGAATTCTAAAATCAAATGTCTACAAAGGTAGGGATGTGGGAAGGCATGATACTGTTGGGTGTAAGAGACAGGAGTGGCAGGCATGTGGCTAACTGGAGCATGTAGGGTCTGTTTGAAGGGGGCAGCTGCTACCCAGGTCCAGCCATACTAGCTACACAGGCAGTGATGTTAACAAAAGTTACCAACTTTTGTGATTTTGTCAAGAGAAGATGAAATGCTCAATTTCTTTGAGAGCTGCCCACTTTTAAATACTGGCAACTTATTTAGATCTAAAAAGAAACACTATGGGGGCTAAACAAAACACATCTATTTGAAGGTCGGCAGTATGTAATATATTGTACAGATTCTGAAGAAAAATGTTTCCTTTCTGAGAGATTCTAGATTAGACGTTCTGGTATCAAATGATTTGTCAACTATCCTCAATACTGGATTCATTCCACACACCTAAGCTTCACTGGCCATCTTCAGCTCAAGTTACATGTTTTAAGATGTGACTTCAAGTCACAAGTTCAGGTACAGGAAGAGCCACTGACAAATCACTTCCCAACCAACCAGCAGCCTCTTTCCTCTCATTCTTATTCTCATTCTCTCTCTCTTCCCATTCACACACACACTACACATCACTACATCGTCTCAAATTTGGTCTTCATACATCTTACTTTACATCCTTTTAATCTACTTTCTAGACTTCCTGTGAATTCTCTTAAAACTCTTCATATTCCTCATTAGTTGAAGAAACCAAATGGTCATTACAGTGTGGTGTTCACAAGGGTCTCACTCGCAATGTTTCCTTAAAGGTTCTCTAGTAAATTTCAGAAATTTGACATTCTGTTCTAAACGCCTCAAAGACTACCTTTAGGATTTATGGGAAAAAAATTATTTTTGGTAGGAGTCATAAGGCATGTTTTAAGGGCACTAGAGAAGTGCCAGCACTGCCACTATCCTGTGTGTAGGAATTTATTGAAAACCATGAATTCTAGATAACCACTTTTTATAATTCTGGATATTGAGACCATTTAAAAGGTTGATTCTTAAAATAGTAGCATCAATAACATTTACCTTTATAAGTCCTATGACATAATATGTAGAAGTAGAAAAGAGTTTATCCCACTGATTTTAAATCACACTTACCTATCCAATGGGCAAAAGCTGGAAAAATTTAGAATACCCTCAAAAATCCCTGAATAAAAGGACAGATTATGGGATGGGAATCTTCTGGAGTTAAGGGTTGATTTCTTAGGTCATTCTTCCTTCTGCTTTCTCCTTCTCCTGTGTTTCTGAGGTACAAGTTTCTTATCCTAACTTCAGTTCCAACTAACTTTTCAGTGCAGCAAATTCAAACACTTTCAGCTAAAAATGAAGATTTATCCTTTTTGTAAGAGACCTATAGCATTAAGGATTTTTCTCTACCATCAAAGTTTATAGGGTCTAATCAAAATCAAAGTAAAGGAAGTAATAACAAGAGTGTCACTGATGTAAGCTAATTTTAGATGGGAGCCTGTTTGGTTTAAATATCTAATTTGAGGGCTGCATGACTACAGACTTCGAAAAACTCTTCCACAGAAAAAAGCCAAAGAAAAGACCACATTTTCTTTAGTAAAACCTATTCATCTCAAATGAGAATTACTATTCTAAAATTGCAGTCAGTATAAACAATTATTTTCTCATTCAAGAAGTCCCAATCAAGTTAAGTGCAAGCAGTATTGTAGTTATGATTCTGCTTTGCATGAAAATCTTATTTTCTCATCATCTACCCCATTTCCTTCTCTAGGTCATTTGAGTACTTTACTCACCTGCTGAAATGCCTTTACAAATCTTATCAGAAGACACTATCCAAGAATATTTTCTCTTACTAAATTCTTTCTTTAATGCATATTCTTAATCAGCTAAGAGCTGCACATAGGGCAGCCAACTCCAGATCTTTATGAAGTATTTTTTACTCACAATTCCTCTCCTTGTTTGGCTTCCTTGTCTGAAATCAGATAGACAGTTCCAAAACTTCCACTGCCAAGTTTCTGTTGAAGCGCGTATCTTCTTGCAATCAAGGTCTTTGGATAAGTAGAAATGGCTATTGATCCACTCACACACTTAGCAGCTTCTTGGAATTTCAGCACTGCTTCAAACAAGAAAGAACTGGTTTACTTATAGAAACTCAACATTCAAGTCTCCTGGGAGATGATCAGATTCATCCAAGTAGTGTGGGTCAATACCTTGAAGATGAAAAGTCCAGAGACAAGGTCTAAACGATGCTGCACTATTCCTAAAAAGAAGTGTAAATTTTTGACAGTGATACCTGCACCTTGATTAGTGGACTGAATGACACCATACTGGTTAATGATTTGAGAGAAAAATGTTAAAGGGTAGAAATACTGCAGATTCCAATAAAGGCAGTCTTTTCATGGGAAGAGAGCCTTTCCTCATAGGGAAGTTTGGCAAAATTGAGTTACAGTTAAGTTTTCCCAAAGTTCTGACATGAATACGTTTTCTAATCAACAATCAGTTTACAATTCATACTCACCACCTACTTTTTAAAGACGATCCAAATATAAGAACATTACCATTTCCCTAAATCTGTACATTGGCATCAAGCTTTGTGTAATCCTTTCTTCTGCTTTTTATCTATTTTGGTTAAACAAAGAGCAAGTTGGGATTAAACCAGAAACACCATGATGTTACTTTCCTTACATTTTTTTTTCTGTAGACTTTAAACCATGACATTTGCATTTATTGGAATAGATGTGAAGAGGATTCGGAATGGATTTTATTCCCATTCTAAGCATATTCTGACCCAGTTTCTGTAGTTTCTGTTATGCACACAGTACAGAGTAATCTCCCTGGATTGGAAACAAAAAGTGTCATATTCGGTTCAAACCTAAAATTGCATTTTAATACTAGCTGAACATAAATGTGTTATAGGTAAACCTGCAAATCCTTGAGCTATAAAGTATATAGCAGAATTATGAAAAGCAGGAGTATTTTACATGAGTATACGCATGGTAAAGTCAATTTTATTCATCAAAATGTAAAATGTTTGTTAGTAATCATGAAAAGTGGGTTTTGTTTTAAATCGATATGAAAACATAATTTTAAATTGAAGGCTCTCTATGCCTTGGAGTCAGGTTTCCATATTCAACAATTTATAAGCTATAAGACAAAACCTATTGTAATGATAAAACAAGATGCCATCTGTGTAGTTTCAAGTACATGGTCAACTCGGCTTCACATGGTGGTTGCAGTTACAAAGATCCTCAGAATAGAACATAAGTAAATATCCATGTATGGCATTTGCCTTCTTGAAATAATGAATTTATCAGTTAGGTTTCACCCAATGCCAGAGGGAAGAAAGAGGAGCGAAGAGGAGGCACCAAATCACTAAGCATCTGTGTGCTTATGACGACACTAAAACACCATGAGCACTGACTGGGCTGGAATTTCGGAGCTGGGGCTCATGCTTCAAAATCCCTGAATAAATAAAAAATTGTATGGGATTATCAAAATCACAGAAAATATTAGTGAAATCTACTCCTGAAAAAAACCCCTGGAGAACAGGCCTCTCCTCGCATAAAAGTGATGTTTTCTGACCAAATCAAGCTGTTAAAGAAAACGTATAGGCTCAAAGCCTCTGCAACTTGAAAGGACGCTTCGTAGATCACCCAATAATTCTCTGTTTTATAGATAACATAAAGCTTCCTGTTTAGCAAAGGAGGCAGAATAGTTCTGAGAAGTCCAGTTCCCGGCGGCTGCTACTGGAAGTGGGTGTTTCCTCCAGCAGCGTGGAGGCAGCGGGCTGAGGACACGGAGCACCTCGGGCCCCGGTCCTGAGGCTCGAGCCCAACAGCCCGGCCTTTGAGCCCGTGCGGCCCTGTGCGCGCACGGCGCTGTCGGCCGCCGTGCAGGAGGCACCGCTCCGCTCGCCAGCGTCAGCTGGGCCACCTCCGAGGGGCTGGGCCGAACACACCTGATCTTTGTGCCCTGGGCGCCCAGCACACGCTGCTTCCCGAGGGGGAAAGCGCGGGCGGAGGGGTGGCGCGCAGAGAAGACCTGCAAGGTTTCTGGAGCCCTGAGAGGCGGGCAGCGACCTCGCCGCACGAACTGACGCTTGGCGGGGCAGAGAGCAAGAAGAGCGCGTCTCTCCCCGTCCGAGCCCAGCGGCGCTCTTCCCCGAACAGTGAACGAGACCCGGCGGCAATGACGCCAGCAGGGATCCAACCTCCAAGGGGAAGCCTTAGCCTGAAGATAGGGCAGCCGTCTCTAGCCTCAAGTTTTTACAGGGTTTGCACTGAGACCAAACAGGTTAACATTTACGGACGGGGCCCCGGCAACATTCGCGCTCCGGACTCGCGAGTCCACCCGAAACACCGTCGAGTACGTGCGGACCCGAGGCGGAAAGGCTGTGGCGCTGTTGCCGGGGAGACGGCGCGGGGCATGCTGGGAGACGCGGCTTTCGCTGCGTCGGGCGGAGTCTGGGCGACCCGACTGGGTGAGGACGGCGGCGGGCCCGCGGGTCCCGCTTCTCTAACGCGACCGCAACTGTTTCGGCGGGTATTGCCGGCCTTCTTCAGCGACCTGGTGCCTCTGGTCCGAAGCATCTACCACCGGCGCAGCCCGTCGCCATTGGCCTCCCTGAGCCGGCTTCCCCGGGATGCCTTACGGGGGACTTCCGGTCCGCCGAGCGCGCCGAGCTTCCGGTTCTGCCCGCTCTTTCGAGCTCCTGTGGAGGGTTGCCGGCTGGAGGTTGGGGTAAGGTAGGTGGGGTGTGCCGCGGGCCCGGGCGATGAGGTCTTCTGAGGACCTGTGTATGAGTGCCTGTGAGTGAGCGACCGTGTGTGCGGGCCTGTGAGTGAGCGCTTGTGTGTGAGCGCCTGTGCGTGAGCGCCTGTGAGGGCCCGTGAGTGAGCGCCTGTGAATGAGGGCCTTTGAGTGAGCGCCCGTGAGTGAGCGCCCGGGTGTGAGAGCCTTTGAGTGAGCGCTTGTGAGTGACCGCCTGTGAGTGAGTGCCCGTGTGTGAGGGTGTGTGTGTGAGCGCCAATGCGTGAGGGCCCGTGAGTGAGCGCTTGTGAGGATCAGTGTGTGAGCGCCCGTGAGTGAGGATCCGTGTATGAGCGCCCGTGAGGGCCTGTGTGTCAGAGCCTGTGAGTGAGGGCCCATGAGTGTGTGCCTGTGAGTGAGCACCTGTGTGAGCGCTCATGTGTGAGCGCCTGTGTGAGCACATGGCTCCAGCTGCTCATGCATCTCACGTCCCAGTGTGCACTGGTTGACCAGCCACTCTGTGAGGTCTGTATTTTGCTAGGGTGAACTGGCAGTCTGCTGGTGTAAGCTCTGCAGGACACACGACAGGTGTACAGATACAAGTAGTGTTCAGAATAGTACCATACTGCTCACATAGATGTGGCCAAGACGTGAAGTGCAAGGGGACACCCAAAACTGTAATCAAGGTAAACTTTAGTGCAACACCTTAAAAAATCTAAATAATGCAGAAACAAAATCCATGCTTAACAAAGTCTCACCATTTAAATACAGACAGAATCAGTAACGGTGCTATACTGAGTTGTGTTGGAGCCTGAGGCCAAAGGAAACACTAGTAATACTGCATCTGCTTCATCTTCCCAGATGACCAGTAGTTCCCAAACTCTGATGGTATCAGAAAAGAAAAGCTGGATCTATGTCATCGACCCTGCATACTTTAGTTAACTAAGCCCAGTTCTTTCTGATTTATTAGTAATGAGATTGAGAAGGAAATCATTTTTATAGCTTAGAACTTTTTACTTGGACCCCAGAAAAATATTCTGTGTTGTAAGGTGGTGACTGATATCTGTCTCAATTTCAAATTCTAGTTCTTTATTAGTATGTCAGTGATGAACTTAAACTGATTTTCCTTCAGAATCAGCAGCAGCCTCCATCCCTATCCAAAGATCAGACTTCATGAAACCAGAGTGTGTGCCTTATAACACATAGAGAAAAGAGAATGAATAGCTGGTGTTGCCTGGGGATCTAGGTAAGAATAGAGATGCTGACACCAAGTATGTGCTGTTTAAAAAACTCTTTATAACATTATCATCAATCTGAATGTACTGGAAACAATGACTTGGTTCCTATAACCAGCATCAGTTGAAAGTGTGTCTGTTGTTTTAAACAGGCAGTTCTTCAGATAGTCATCATGGGTATCCGAGGACTTATGAGTTTTGTGGAGGATCATAGTAATGAGTTCTTCACTGATTTGAAGCTGCAAGACACAAAAATCATCATTGATGGCTATGCACTCTTCCACTGCCTTTGCTTCAATTCAAACTTGGAGCTTCAGTATGGAGGGGACTATGATTCTTTTGCAGATGTTGTACAAAAATTCTTTGAATCACTGTTTGCTTGTAATATATGTCCATATGTTGTATTAGATGGTGGATGTGACATTTCAGATAAAAAGCTTACAACATTAAAGGATCGAGCTAGAGAGAAGATCCAGATGGCCCATTCCCTTTCTGTTGGTGGGGGTGGGTACGTATGCCCCTTACTCATTCGGGAAGTATTCATTCAGGTTTTGATCAAGCTGCAGGTGTGTTTTGTCCAGTGCTTTTCAGAAGCAGATCGGGACATTATGACATTGGCTAATTACTGGAATTGTCCTGTGTTATCATCAGATAGTGACTTTTGCATTTTTGACCTGAAAATTGGGTTTTGTCCATTGAATAGCTTTCAGTGGAGAAACATGAACACTATTAAGGGCACACAAGACTACTATATTCCAGCCAAATGCTTTTCCCTTGATGCACTCTGCCGCCACTTCAGCAATATGAATAAAGCTCTACTACCTCTCTTTGCTGTGCTGTGTGGAAATGACCATGTTAATCTGCCCGTCGTGGAGACATTCTTAAGTAAAGTACGTCTTCCTCTTGGAGGTACCAGTTCTAAGAGGAGAAGACACCACCGAATTCTGGGACTTCTGAATTGGCTGTCTCATTTTGCTGACCCTACTGAAGCACTAGACAATGTTCTGAAGTATCTCCCAAAAAAGGATCAAGAAAATGTTAAGGAACTTCTGTGCTGTTCCATGGAAGAATACCAGCAGTCCCAGGTGAAGCTGCAGGACTTCTTCCAGTATGGCACTTATGCCTGTCCAGATGCCCTGAATCTGGGTTTACCAGAATGGGTACTAGTGGCTTTGGCCAAAGGCCAGCTGTCTCCTTTCATCAGCGATGCTTTGGTGCTAAGACGGACCATTCTTCACACACAGGTGGAAAACATGCAACGTCCAAATGCCCACAGAATCTCTCTGCCCATCCGACAAATCATCTATGGGCTGCTTTTGAATGCTTCTCCACATCTGGAAAACATTTCCTGGAATGCATCGCCTCCTCAGCCTCTAGCTTTCAGTGAAGTGGAAAGGATTAATAAAAATATCAAAACATCAATTGTTGATGCAGTAGAACTGCCCAAGGATCATTCTGACTTGAACCAATTGACTGAGGTAAGTGTTGTGATACTAATGTAATTTTTATAAAGCACTATACAGGTTACAAAGTGCTTTCATGTATATTCTCTGTATATATAATAAACAGGTTGGTCGCTCTTTTGCCACTATTACATAGCTGAGAAAACCAGGACCAAAGTAGGTGACTATGTCATACTTCAGCTGGGGAGTATCCATGGTTGGACTCAAACCTAGATCTTTTAGTTCCAAATCTGCCATTTACACCTCAATAGTCTGTGTTATCTTTGCAGTTATTACACTGCTGTTGATACTTGCTACCAAAGAATGGGGTTATGTGGTTCAAAAAAAGGAAAAGGAAAAATTTGAGCTGCAAAAAAAAAGTGTGCATGTAGGCATTGATCATAGGCATAATTAACATCTCAGACTGCATCAGATGTCAATTAACAGATTAATACTGATGCTTGGATCCAATTTTTCATTTTTATTGATGAAGACCTTGTTTTAGGCTTTAGGTTTATGACATGGTGGTGATTTGCTTAGTTTGATATTGAAAACATTACCCTCAGTCAAACTCAGTGTTGCTTAAACCTGAATAACACTCAGACCAATCCCCTCTTCTAAGCAAAAAAATTCTTGTGGATCCAATGTTTAGTTTTTTATAATACTACAAAAATATATTAAAAATTAAAAATAGATGCAGAACTGCTTATGCTAACAATAAAATTTACAAATCAAATACAAATAAATTTATAATACCAATCGTAATGCCCATTGGAGATTTTCTTAGATCCAATTAAATATTCAAGCTCGCAAGACTGTCCTAGGCTGCTATTGGTGGCAGTCTACTCAAGGATGGAGAGCTGCAGCCATCTACACCCTCTGGCTCTCCATGGGAGGTGGTTTTACCTCCGTGGGGACATTTGGCAATGTTTGGAGACACCTCTGATTGTCACTAATTGGGCAGTTGGGGGGGCAGGTTGCTACTGGTGTGTTACTGGGGAGAGGCTGGGGATGCTGCTAAACATCTTAACAATGCACAGGACAGCCCCCAACAACAGAGAGTTATCTGGCCCACAATGTCAGTAATTCCAATCCTGGCCTACACAGCTCCCCATTAGTGATAATTCAGGCAGGAGGAAATAAGATTCACATTGGATGGGTACCAGAGCCTCCTTGGCAATGGGGACGGATTGCTAATGGAACAGGGTTTTTTGGGGTGATGATATGCTCTAATTAGTGATGTCACACAAGCTTATAAATATGCTAAAACCACTTACAAAGGGTGAATTTTTTGACATGTGAATTATATCTCAAAGAAAGAGAAAGTTCTTTCACACAGCCTCCTTCCCCACAGGATCCAGTCTTGTAACAATTCCATAGACATAGCTTCCCAAACCCCCCAAGGGATATGGCAAATTACAAGTCACTGTCCTATGATACAGTGTCCTCATCGAATATTTACAGTCTATCTATAGTTCAAATCTAGATGCAGTTTTACAAGTCATCTTTATCATGCCAACCAACATAGATAACTTTATCATGTTTCCAGGCTCACAGAACTAGAAAGTTGAGTATAGATCAAATTCCAAAGAGAAGGGATTTATTAAAACTTTATACACACGAATAAAATTTATATTAGTAACATTCTAAAGGATGATGTTTTGCTGAAATTACATTTCTACTCACAATATAAATGGTGGTATGTTGGAGTGTTTTTATGGCTTTTTGAGAAATTATTAATGTATAACTAAGTGCCCTTATTTGAAGTTTGCACTTTGATGAGTTTTGATGTTTACATATGTGAATCTCTCCTGCAATTAAAATAATGTATTCACTGTCCCCTAAGTTTCCTCTTACCTCTTTGCAATTCATCCCTCCGAGTATGTACCTGTAGCAGAGTGCACAAATAATCATATAGCTTGATGAATTTTCACCAACTCCACACTTCCCTGTAAAAGAGCACCCAGATGAAGACTCCAGCACTCCAGAAGCTGTCGCCATCATCTGGTTCTAGTCACCTGTGCTCCTCCCTGTTATTGCTATCCTCAGCTCTACCAACATTGAATAGTTTTAACTGCTTTTATACTTTATAAAAATGCAACTGTACAGTTATGAATTCTTGCATGTGGCTTCTTTTATTCAACATGATGCTTGTGAGATTGATTCATCCTCTGAGTAATGTGGTAGGTCATTTGTCATTGCTGTATATTACTACATTGTCGGAATATTACCACAATCAACTCTGCCATTTTATAGCTGATAGGTATTTGGGTAGTTTGCAGTTTGGGCTGTTATGAATAGGGCTATGAACATTCTAGTGCACATCATTTGTAAAAATATGGACAAATTTTTACTGCATATATACCAGTGGAATTGCAGGGTCATAAGATACACACATGTTGAGCTTAGAATTTGCTACTAAATGGTCTTGCAAAGTGATTTTACTAATTAAATGTTCCCACCAGCAACTTAAGCGTGTACTTCTTACTTTACCCCCTTGCCAATACTTGGTATTTTCTATCCCTTTAAAAACTTTTAGCTCCTCTGATGGTTTTGTAGTGGCATCATTTTAGCCAATTTGGTAGGTGTTAATTTGCATTTCTCTAATGACCTATTTGAACACCTTTTCATGTGTTCATTGGCTGTTTGGATATTCTGTTACATAGTTTCTGTTCAAAGTCTTGCTCGTTTTTCTTTTGTTTTCCTGTCTATTTCTGTGTACAGGTCCTTTTTCAAATAACATGTACTGTGACTAGCCTCTCCCATTCTGAGGGCTGTGTGTTCACTCTAGTATGTTTTGATGAACAGAAGTCCTTAATACAGTGTAATTTAAATATTTATCATTTATGGTTATCACTTTTGTGACCTACTTAAATTACTGCCTACTCCAAGGTCATGAGAATTTTTTTTGCCTTTCACATTTAGATCGACTATCTATATAGAACTGATTATTTTGTGTATGGTGTGACATAGGGCTCAGGACACTTTTTCCACATGAAAATCCAGTTGACTTAATGAGTGTAGCATGCTGATTGTACTCCTTAGTGATGAAACAAGTGTTTTTATTACTGTGTTCAGAATAGGATGAAATTTGACTCTCTGAGCAGTGATATCATTTGGCTTTCCTTTAGCATAAACTAATAAATTTCATATTTAGCTCAATGCTGTCAGTTCTAATTAGCCCATGAGAATTCTAAATGGTACCAAGTGCAAATATGATTCCAAAGAAGAATGCAGGCACAAGTATAGAAAAGCCAATACTTGGTATTTTCTATCCCTTTAAAAACTTTTAGCTCCTCTGATGGTTTTGTAGTGGCATCATTTTAGCCAATTTGGTAGGTGTTAATTTGCATTTCTCTAATGACCTATTTGAACACCTTTTCATGTGTTCATTGGCTGTTTGGATATTCTGTTACATAGTTTCTGTTCAAAGTCTTGCTCGTTTTTCTTTTGTTTTCCTGTCTATTTCTGTGTACAGGTCCTTTTTCAAATAACATGTACTGTGACTAGCCTCTCCCATTCTGAGGGCTGTGTGTTCACTCTAGTATGTTTTGATGAACAGAAGTCCTTAATACAGTGTAATTTAAATATTTATCATTTATGGTTATCACTTTTGTGACCTACTTAAATTACTGCCTACTCCAAGGTCATGAGAATTTTTTTTGCCTTTCACATTTAGATCGACTATCTATATAGAACTGATTATTTTGTGTATGGTGTGACATAGGGCTCAGGACACTTTTTCCACATGAAAATCCAGTTGACTTAATGAGTGTAGCATGCTGATTGTACTCCTTAGTGATGAAACAAGTGTTTTTATTACTGTGTTCAGAATAGGATGAAATTTGACTCTCTGAGCAGTGATATCATTTGGCTTTCCTTTAGCATAAACTAATAAATTTCATATTTAGCTCAATGCTGTCAGTTCTAATTAGCCCATGAGAATTCTAAATGGTACCAAGTGCAAATATGATTCCAAAGAAGAATGCAGGCACAAGTATAGAAACTTTGTGGCATTATCTGTTCATTTTGTTTTTCTTAACATGATTTGGTAATAATACTTGTCTGCTTTTTGCCAGCTGTTTTAACAGGAACTACAATCTCTTATTTAATTCCCACAGCAACCACATAGGGTAGGGTTTCCATTTTAATTATTAGTTGGAGTGGACAGTGCCACTTAGGTCAACCAGTGAGAGGTTAATCATAAGGAAATGGAAGTGAATCATTCTGGGGAGTAGAGCTGGGCCAAGACCAGCCTCTCCAGTACCTCTGCCCCGCAGTGGCAGCCTCTTCTGCAGGCTTGTGCTGTCCTTCCCCTTGGGTGGGGAGGGGAAAGGAATGGTCATACAGGGTAAAATTAACCATATTTGAGGGCTGTGAGCAGAATAGTTCACCCTTTGGCTAAAAATGTAGGTTCCAGGAAACATCTGTGTAAGTCATGACAATGCTTATTTTATGGATAGGTGATCAGACTAACTGTAGGAAAGCTCAGAAACCTGCCCAAGACTGTACAGTTAGTGAAGGATTGAACATCTCTGAACTCAAAGCCCAGATTCTGCTTTGTTCATAAAACTATTAACCTGGTGAGAGAATTCAGTAATTTAAGCATTGTATGTCAGAAAAGGATTCATTACTTTCTTAGCTTTGCTTGGTGTTTTTCGACCTGTTGAGATTATGGAGAATAGTTTTTGTTTTACTTAGATAAGTAGATAAGTAGTTAATGATACTTGCCATGGGGCGTTTAATTATACTGTAAAACACATTGCATATTTCTCATTTTTAAAATGTCAGGTATTAAATTAAAATCTACTTATAAATCATTGTATTTAGTGTTCTCATGCACTGATGATATTAACTATTTTGTCAATTTTGACATGTTTTATTTCAGGTTACCAACTCTGTTCTCGGCTGTGAACACATCTGTTGACTAAAACTAAGTGTTAGGTGCTGAGAAATATGCCAGACTCTCATTCTTCCAGAAAGTCAAGAAAGAAATCTTTTTCTGGCTGTGTGCAGACACTAGGAATACAACTATTTTTTTCTTTTAAAATCCTACAAAGTCCCCCTGGAGATGCCCTTTCCATAGCCCTAATTTACCTACCTGTGAAATGTCTGACTTGTAAGGTCCTTGTAGTTCTTAAGTCTTAAGATTCATTAAGGTAAAATTATCTCAGTAAGTCCAAAGCCCTCGTAGCTTCTGCTTGCTCTTAACTTGAAATGCACCCTCTTTTCATGGAGTGAAAGTGAGTGTGATTTGTTGTTGCAAACACAATGCAGACAGTCCTTTAAATATTTGTCTCCCTTGAGTATCCCTCATCTACAGGCAGCCACCCAAGACAGTCCCTGTGTGGGAGAACACGGGCAACAGGACACTGAGCTGGGTAGGGGCATGAGACAGGACCCAAACAAGCGGAAGCTGCATGACATGCTACAAAGGATGCAGATGATCTAAGTCTGCTTTCTTCTAGAGGTGATCAGTAGTGGCATCATGGAGAAGGTGGGGCCTACATATTCACTGGCAAGTAAGGGAAGGGTTGAGTGTACATCTGTTTCTCAAAACAGAATAGTTAAAATGCAGATTTCTGGGCTTCCCTCAGATTTACTAAATCAAAATTTAGGAGGTAGAGCTGGAGAATTGAATATTTAACAAGATTCCTAAGTGATGTGCACACTCCATGCTCCCCAGCCTCCACGGGAGTTGATATACCCACACTCTGTGAACTGTATTTACTAAGCACCTTATTAGTGCTCTAAATGCTTTGAGTGTGGCCTGTTTTTTCCACAGGAAGAGACTGACAGAGCAGTTTCATTTGCATTAAAATCTGTTCATATTAGAAAAACAGTATATTCCCCAAAATAACTTGCAGGATGTTTAATATATATTTTCAGCTCTCCTTGGCTAGACGGCAGATACTTCTGTTAGAAACACTGAAGGTGAAACAGCACATCCTGGACCCTGTCCCTGATACACTGAAGTTGCCCATTGCTATCAGTTGCTACTGGTTGCAGCACATGGAGGCCAGGGCAAAGCTCCATCATGTCCAAGCCTTACTGCTGGGGATGCTGACAGGGCCTTTGCATGCCATGATTTACAGCTCTGGTAGGTATCTGGAAATTCCAGGAGTATATTTTTGCACTTTACTTGCTTATAACCAAAAGTTTAAATGAATACTCTTGGATCATTTACCTCCATCAGTTATATCAGAACTTAGAAGTGGAGGCACCAAAATACCGCTCACTCAGTGGTGGATACTTTGAGCACTTCCATGTAGCAGGCTTGGTGCAGGAGGGCTCAACTCATCATACTGCCTCCTACATGCTGTGTGGCCCCTAGTGTTTGTGTCCAACATGTGACTGCCGGCTGCACTCGGTGTCCCCTTCCCTGTCACAACAGCAGCAACATTGCCACTAGATGGCACTCAAAATTGCCCATGGGTAAGAATTCCGAATACCTACAACCGCAGTAAGCATTCACTCTTGCACTGTTTCTTTACATTTTTTTCTGATGTGAGCTTCAATTAGTATGTAAATATTGGTTGTAGAAAGAGCAATTTCTTTTAGAGAAATACTCCTTGACACTATCTCATCTGCATTTAAATAGTGGGTGAAATGTTGATGCATCAGAGCACTTCAGTTCTCTAATGGTATCACTGTCTTCAGAAGATTGTAAATGCTGTATGTAACACTTTACCCAAACATGTTATCACACTCTAGAATAATAGAACATATTAGCTAATTACTGTTTAATATAATAGCTGTTAGCCACATATGGCTCTTTTAAATTAAAAATTCGACTTTACAGTGATGCTGGCCACATTCCAAGTGCTCAGTAGCCACATGAGGCCATAGGCTACTGTACTGGACAGCGCAGATGTAGACCGTTCCATCACTGCAGGAATTTCTGTTGGGTAGTGCTGCCCTGGAATTTACTTTTTAAAAAGGTTAAATGAATCAGCAAACACCCCACAACACCTCAAGGGTGAGTGTAGCTGTCAAAGGGACTGTTATATGACAGGCAACTTCATGGGAAACAAGGCCCATCACTGGTTGAGATGCAAGTTTAGGGTATTTCCTTTCATTGAATAGTAAAAACAGTTTAAGAAAATGCTCGGAGCATAATCCTGTTTTTACCTGAGTCCAACAGAAGGGGCAAGTGAAGGGTCTGTTTCTTTTCTTTTAGGAATTGTGGACTCTGCAACCCTGGCAGGCTCAGTGCCTTGCTGCTCGCTAATTGGTAAAAGGTGGGCCTTCTTTTTATTACTTTCAGGTTGGTCCAGATGTCATTTCACGTGCCCCTGCTCGAACAGCCTCAGCAGTTTACAGCCGAGCACACGGCACTCTTCATTCCCTTGGGCTGTAGCTCTTACCCCTTACCCTCTGCTATGTGAAGAAGCTGATGCTTGGCCACATTCTCCCTTGAGTCATATGCTTGTTTTCCTCAGTAAGACAGAAGTTAAAATGTGCTTTGAGCACGTGGCTGTTTAAGTGCACTATATTATCAGGGTCTCCACGAAAGGAAGTTTAATGGAAGAGAACAGTAAAGAGAATGATATTTAATAGTAATTAATATTTTTCATAAAGACAGATTTAGGGCTTGGAAAATTCAGATGCAAGTATATTTAAGGTCAGATAGGAAGAGCCATCTTAGGGAAAAAATTAATTTGGGGTTGAATAAAGTTTTCATTAAAAAGGCATTTCAGTTTATACAGCAAGGCTTTTACACTGATGTTCAAATAGTAAAGAGCCAGAAGAGAAAAGCGTTTTGGTTACTTAAACTAATCTTTATGGAACTTGAAGCTTTATATATTGAGAAAATTACAGGCTGATACAATGGTTTTGGAAGTACTGCCCTTGGCTTGTTTCTTTGTCTAGAGAAGGAAGTTCTGCGGGAGAACAGCGGCGCTAAGATGCTGTATGAAGAGTTCCAGAGAGTGAAGGAGCAGGCGCAGCCAGGCCCAAGGCTGGAGTTAGATGCAGCTCACGTCTTCTGTCAGTGGCAGAGCTGTCTGCAGATGGGGGTGTATCTCAATCAGCTGCTGTCCACTCCTCTCCCGGAGCCGGACCTAACTCGGTAAGCACCATGGGAAACTAGTTCAGATGGCTGCACACAGAATCAAATACTCTACTTACATAGAAAGTTAAGAAGTTATTAATCTTAGTATAACTGCTCTTGCATCCCTATTAAAGCTAAAGAGCTAGAAACAGGAAAAATATTAAATATTAAATTCTTTCCATATTCCCAAAGAAAAACTGAGTTCCTTGAAGTAAAAACAGGCAGTTGTTGGTCGGATGTAACTCATTCCCCCATTTCCCTCAGGTCTGGGTGTCACTTCATAGACACTTTCAGGTCATCCTACTGAAATATTGCGCTCTACTGCTAGTCACTTTAGGCCTGTTACTCTCTTGTATTTTTGTAATTGCACATCTTACCACTGGCATATTGTTCATGTGTTCATTCAAATATTTATTCAAATATTATTAAGTCATATATTAAATATTCTGTGCTAGGGTATAGTGAACAAAACATTTAAAAAATCTCTGCTGTCATGAGCTTTTTATACTAGTGAGAAGATTATTCAATGGTAAAGTAGATTTTATCTAGGTTTTCGTTTTCCAGACAAGTACAAAGAAGGGAAGCAGCCTATATGCCAGGAAGTGATTATAACATTTGACTATGGAGTCTAAGCTGGGTAAAAAAAGGACAGCGGTAGGTTGTGGACTAGTGAAAAAGTGGTAGGATCCACACACTGGACATTCTTGTGATTTTTCTATCCAGGAGGCACTAGAGGGAGTGAGGAAGATAAATGGGAGATGGTTAGAAAATAGAGCTTTGTCCCTCTCCACTGGAATGTAAGCTATGTGAGGGCAGGGACTTGTCCATTTTATTTGCTGTGTAGACCCAGTGCCTAGCATTTAGTAAGTACTCAAATATTTGTTAAGTAAGTGATATGTGGAGGCATACAAAATATACTGGTGAGACTTGTTTCAAGGTAAAAAGCTATCTAGCAGTAGTGTTCATACATCTCTGGGCTTCATCTCTGAGCTAACCCCTAGAACCCTCTACCAAATACAAGGTTAACTGGCCTTTGACTCATGGATTCTTTATTCCTTTCCTCTAATAATTTAGGTCATTTTTGACTGGATCCTGTCCAGTTACCACAAATCCCTTTAAAACAAAACAGGAAAAACAAGACCCAACAGTTCTCTTAATAATTATTTCAGCAGGAGGATTGTTTTTGGCATTACCAAGACTTTTTAAGTGATAATTTCACTGATTGAGTCATGGTTCTACATCAGTTACTAAGGCACAGTTGAGCAACTCTGGCAGCAAGTTAAAAATTTGTGGCTTCCTGTTACTCCCATCTTGTACTGTGAAGTAGATTTTTAGCCCAGGTGAATGAATGACCTTGCAATTGATGTCATTAAATTTTCTCATATTTCAACAGATTGCCTGTTGTGTTTATCAAAGGCATTTTTAATTCCTTTTCTTTGAAGTGTCAAGAGGCCTGCTCTACCTTGGGCTAATTGAAGAACGAGCAGGCATCGTCATTTCATGTGTTGGTAAAAAGTTCTAAATATTGCCAGCCAAGACATAGCAACTCAGTTCTTTCCTTTAGGAAGGGACAAATTATTAAGTAATTTTATTAATCATTTTATAGAAGCAAGGAGAGCTCTTGTGTTCAGACGCCTCATTGAAGCCACATAACAGTGGGTTGTCCCAGTGTGCTGAACCTGTCCTTAAACAGGACTCTTTTCTCCCATTAAATAGATTGTACAATGGAAGCCTGGTGCACGGACTATACCAACAACTGCTAATGTCAGCCTCTGTAGAAAGGTTCCTGAGCTTGTGTCCTGAGGCAAAGCAACTTTATGAACATCTTTTCAATGCCATGAGGTCATGTGCTCCTGCTGAATTATTCCTACCAAAGGGTAAATTAAATTCAAAAAAAAAGAGGCAAAAGAAACACGGAACCAGCTGGTCAAAGACCAGAGTGGGAACCACCTCAGACAGTAGACGTTGGTACGAGGCAAGCAATCGGTTTGGGCTATTAATGGCTGAAAATTTAGAGGAACATATTGAGGGCTCAGAGCTGGAATAAATTCAGTCTGCCACCAGATTATGTAATTCTTACTTAAAATTTTTGTTACCTTCCTTGAGATGATTAACTTTTTCTTTAGAAATAACCTGTTAGGGGACTAACATTGCAATAGATAATCTTTGAGTTCCAAGCTATTTTGTATTCTACTTTTAATAAATACAACCTGATATAAGAAATTTCTGTATTTCTTGAACACATTTTAAAGCATGGTTGTACTTCTCATGTTCCATTTCAGTAAGTTAATAATGAAGTCTATAACCTTTAAATTGCAGCAACTCAGATTACTATGTTTTCAAAAAGAAGTCCTACCTTCCATTATTTCCTGTAAGTATAATCTCAGTTACTACTTCAAAGAAATTTTTACAGCTGTTTCCTTTTCATCCTTTATTATGAAAGGTCTGGGTCTTAGAAGACAGAAGTGAGGATGCCTGACAAAAATCTATGTGCAGTAAAATAGACCATGGCAGGGATGATGAGCACATTAGATTTGTTCCAAGTGTTAAAGCGTGAGCTGAAACCAATGGTCCCAACATAAGAAACAGCATCCTGACCTGCTAGATCTAGTGGAGGAGAAGGAAACACTAAGAAGTTAAAATTTTAGATAGATGCAGCAATACCAGAACCTAGACCATTTGTTATACTGCAGGTTCTGATCCATTAATGGGATGTGAAATGAATTTAATGAGTCATAACCAGCATTTGTTAAATAGAAAATGTCAGATATGCATATCATATTAGATGGTTGTGCAACATGTACAATCAAATCTGTGGATTGCAGTCAAAAAGACTCTGAAAGGCACTGCTCTGGAACACAGTAGAGGCTGCTAAAGTAACAAAAACCAGAACTGGGAAGGTGCTGACCAGTTCCAAATAAAGAACTTGAAAATAAAAAGGTGGAAAGAATGTATCTGTACCTTCTGACAGGTGTATTCCATCAGTAATAACACATAATGTTTTGAACAGGCCTATCTATGTTCAGTTCCTAACATTTGGTTAAAAAACTCCACCAGTTTCCTAGGAAGCACCATACTTATAAAGGAATCAGGCCAGCCAGTGTTACTAACAGTCAAGTGTTGACTGGCTTTAGCCATTAACAAACATCAAACAATCTCTCATGCTTCTAAAGTTATCAAGCTGGCTTCTATTCCAATGGTTCTAGAAATAAGAATAGCTTTGTTTATGTAGGAGTGCATGGGGCTCTGCATTAAGATTGTTTTCTGTGTGTAAAGAGATGGTCACTCCCAGAAGAATCAAGAAAATAGCAGTCATGTGCCCCTATTTTTTGAGAAGACATGTATATTTCTAGCAAATAGAGGACCAGATGGGGACTGTAAGCATGTAAGACCTTTGTTATATCAAAGTTCTCTTTTCCTTTATTCCTGGAGTTAGGTGGGGCCAATCTGGAAATCATGCCAATATGAGTGTCTTATTTCCTGACTTAGCAACATGACTTTTTAAAACCACCAACCTGGCATGAAAAAACATCCATTCCCACTTCCACTTTAGCAAATAACTGATTTGACAGGCACCAAACTGAAGAGAGTATGGGTGCAGAGTTTAAAAAGTCAGCTGAATTACATAAGTTATCTTTTTCTTTCATTAAAAAAGTTTTCTTCAAGCAGTAGAAAGAGGCCCTCCTTCAGGAGACACAGAAGTCAGGTTCTCTTCACTAGCCATTGTGATCAGGGCCTTTCACTTGAAATTAACCAGGCTTATAGTAAAGGAGTTGAAACCTAGTAATGTCCATTAATTTTTACTCTTAAGAATTCAGAAGTGTTACCTACATATATTCTCTGTATATGAGATGGAGAGGTCACAAGCACCCCATAGGGTATCTGGGGGTGCAGAATGACAAAGTGCAGACTGACTTGTAAGGTCCTTGTAGTTCTTAAGTCTTAAGATTCATTAAGGTAAAATTATCTCAGTAAGTCCAGTAAGACTACAATAAGGAGACAGCAGTCACCAGGACAAGTAGAGGTTAGGTCAGAGGGTTCTCAGATCTGGCTTTTGAGGTTGGCTTAGAAGACAGGAATTTGGATGAGGTACAGGAGGCAATGGGAGTACCTGTGTGTTAGCAGAGTGTCACACATTCCATATTCCATTTGGAAAGTCTGTTTCCTGTGTTTCTAATTAAGTCTTCAGGTCACTCCATTCTAGCTAATGAAATCTCACCTAAGGCTTTGGAAATAGAAGTCTTCAATTAGCATGTTAAACACCAAAAGGAATTCTGGACAGCTAGGATAAAGTTTAGGAATGAAGTTGGAGAGAGAAAAACACTAATATTATTGTGTGTTTATCTGCCATAAAATTGTATTTCAACTTTATTTGTACAAGCCCTTTGAGACAACTGACCTAGAAAGTTTAATATATATATTTTGTAAATATAAACGCAAAGCCTTTCATAATAAATGATTATACAAAAAAGGAATTCAAATTAATTTTACTATTTGACTTTGGATTTCTAATTCAAATTGACAATTTTAAAAGATGAAGACCTTTATAGCTAGAAAGATCTTAAAATTGTCTTTTCCACCTTTGTGCATGAAATGTCAATGACTATGCCTCAGTTACTATATCTGTGAAAAGGGGATCAGAACAGTTCAAATCATTGTCTAAGGATAAAATGAAGTGTACTTTTAAGCTACTTAGCATGGTGCCTCGCACTAAGAACAAGCACTAAGTGATAGGCATTTTGTTATATCCACAAGAAAGCCAGAGCAGAGCAGGGGATCTGGGAGGTGAGCGCTCAGTAGAAAGATGGAGGCACCCTGAGACCAGCGGCTACAGGGCAATGGCAGACTTTTACAGAGGCAGAGGTCAGCACTATTAAGAATGCCTGAGATGAGAGGGCAAGAATGTGAAAATTAAAGACCAAAGCCACACTGCAAAGTGCCAAGAGAATGGGGTTAGGCAGCTAAGCTCAACCTCAGAAAATAGTGAAAAAAGCCCAGAAGGAACTATGC